CTGATTGGCAACTCAACCCTAACACTTAAGAGGCAGACCAATAAGAAAGCAGCTTGCACTGTGGCTGATTGGCTACTCAACCCTAACACCTAAGAGCCAGACCAATCAGAAATCAGCTTGCATTGTGGTTCATTGGCTACCCAACCCTAACACCTAAAAGCCAGACCAATCAGAAAACAGCTTGTATTGTGGCTGATTGGCAACTCAACCCTAACACCTAAGAGCCAGACCAATCAGAAAGTAGCTTGCATTGTGGCTGATTAGCAACACAAACCTAACACTCAAGAGCCTGACCAATCAGAAAGCAGCTTGCATTGTGGCTGATTGCTTTGTGGCTGATTAGCTACACAACCCTAACACCTAAGAGCCAAACCAATCAGAGAGTAGCTTGCATTGTGGCTGATTAGCTACCCAACCCTAACACCTAAGAGCCTGACCAATCAGAAAGCAGCTTGCATTGTGGTTCATTGGCTACTCAATCCTAACACCTAAAAGTCAGACAAATCAGAAAGCAGCTTGTATTGTGTCTGATTGGCTACCAAGCCCTGACACCTAAGAGCTAGACCAATCAGAAAGCAGCTTGTATTGTGGTTCAATGGCTACCCAACCATAACATCTAAGAGTCAGACCAATCAGAAAGCATTTTGCATTGTGGCTGATTGGCAACTCAACCATAACACCTAAGAGCCAGACCAATCAGAAATCAGCTTGCATTGTTGCTGATTGGGTACTCAACCCTAACACCTAAAAGCCAGACCAATCAGAAAGTAGCTTGCGTTGTGGTTGATTGTGTATTCAACCTTAACATCTAAAAGCCAGACCAATCAGAAAGCAGCTTACATTGTGGTTCATTGGCTATTCAACCCTAACACCTAAGAGCCAAACCAATCAGAGAGTAGCCTGCATTGTGGCTGATTGGGTACTCAACCATAACACCTAAGAGCCAGACCAATCAGAAATCAGCTTGCATTGTGGCTAATTGGGTACTCAACCCTAACACCTAAAAGCCGGACCAATCAGAAAGCAGCTTGCATTGTGGTTGATTGGGGATTCAACCCTAACATCTAAAAGCCAGACCAATCAGAAAGCAGCTTGCATTGTGGTTCATTGGCTATTCAACCCTAACACCTAAGAGCCAAACCAATCAGAAAGTAGCTTGTATTGCGGCTGATTGGCTACCCAACCATAACACCTAAGAGCCAGACCAATCAGAAAGCAGCTTGCACTATAGCTGATTGGCAACTCAACCCTAACACCTAAGAGCCAGACCAATCGGAAAGCAGTTTACATTGTGGCTGATTGGCTACCCAACCCTAACACCTAAGAGCCAGACAAATCAGAAAGTAGCTTGCATTGCGGCTGATTGGCTACCCATCCCTAACACCTAAGTTGCAGACCAATCAGAAAGTAGTTTGCATTGTGGCTGATTGGCTACCCAACCCTAACACCTAAACGTTAGACAAATCAGAAAGCAGCTTGAATTGTGGCTGATTGGCAACTCAACCCTAACACCTAAGAGCCAGACCAATCAGAAAGCAGCTTGCATTGTGGTTATTTGCTACTCAATCCTACCACCTAAGAGCCAGAGCAATCAGAAAGTAGCTTGCATTGTGGCTGATTAGCTACCCAACCCTAACACCTAATAAGTGCCAGACCAATCAGAAATCAGCTTGCATTGTGGCTGATTGGCAACTCAACCCTAACACCTAAGAGCCAGACCAATCAGAAAGCAGCTTGTATTGTGTCTGATTGGCAACTCAGCCCTGACAGCTAAGAGCGAGACCAATGAAAAAGCAGCTTGCATTGTGGCTGATTGGCAACTCAACCCTAACGTCTAAGAGCCAGACCAATCAGAAATCAGTTTGCATTGTGGCTGAATGCCGGGCTACTCAACCCTAACATCTAAGAAAAAGCAGGTTCTTTGTTTACAATTTTTTTTCGAGGTTCGTCAAATTGTGCCTTGTTTATATTTTTTGACTTAATCGAGATATTAGAAACAAACACATCTTAGGCACTATATCTCGCTATCGTGGAGTGAAAATCAATAATCGACACATCTATCAGATAACATATAAAAATACCACTCTTTATTGCATTCTGTATTCAACAGTTTGTGTTCCCAGAAGACGAGAGTAAAAATAAACTATAGTACACAAATCGTTGTTTTATGAACTTTATGTTTTCTAGTGTGTTATAGTGATACTTTACGAAATTAGTAAAGTGTTTTTATCATAGCACTCTAAACTATCTCTGTGCACTACGCTATGCTACTCAGAATTATTGTACTATCGCTATATGGACTATTCCTTTAATATACTATGGTATATTAATTACTATTTTAAGTATTTTTGACTATTGTATATACTATACTTAGATATCTCTGTACTATTGTATATACTATACTTAGATATCTCTGTACTATTGTATATACTATGCTTAGATATCTCTGTACTATTGTTTATACTATGCTTAGATATCTCTGTACTATTGTATATACTATGCTTAGATATCTCTGTACTATTTGTATTTAATATGCTTAAATATCTCTGTACTATTGTATATACTATGCTTAGATATCTCTGGACTATTGTATATACTATACTTAGATATTTCTGAACTATTGTATATATACCTATGCTTAGATATTTTTGGACTATTGTATATATCATACTAAAATATCTCTGGACTATTGTATATACCATACTTAGATATCTCTGTACTTTTGTATATACTATACTTAGATATCTATGTACTATTGTATATACTATACTTAGATATCTTGTACTATTGTATATATTATGCTTATATATCTTTGTACTATAGTATATACTATGCTTAGATATCTTCGTACTATTGCATATACAATACTATGCTTAGATATCTCTGTACTATTGTATATACTATACTTAGATATCTCTGTACTATTGTATATACTATACTTAGATATCTTGTACTATTGTATATACTATGCTTATATATCTTTGTACTATAGTAGTATATACTATGCTTAGATATCTCTGTACTATTGTATATACTATACTTAGATATCTCTTGACTATTCTATATACTATGCTTAGATATCTTGTACTATTGTATATACTATGCTTATATATCTTCTGTACTATAGTATATACTATGCTTATATATCTGTGTACTATTGTATATACTATGCTTATATATCTTTGTACTATTGTATATACTATACTTAGATATCTCTGTACTTCTGTATATACTATACTTAGATATCTATGTACTATTGTATATACTATACTTAGATATCTTGTACTATTGTATATACTATGCTTATATATATATTTGTACTATAGTATATACTATGCTTAGATATCTTCGTACTATTGCATATACAATACTATGCTTAGATATCTCTGTACTATTGTATATACTATACTTAGATATCTCTGTACTATTGTATATACTATACTTAGATATCTCTGTACTATTGTATATACTATACTTAGATATCTCTGTACTATTGTATATACTATACTTAGATATCTATGTACTATTGTATATACTATACTTAAATATCTCTGTACTATTGTATATACTATACTTAGATATCTCTGTACTACTGTATATACTATACTTAGATATCTCTGTATTATTGTATATACTATACTTAGATATCTTTGTACTATTGTGTATACTATACTTAAATATCTCTTGACTATTCTATATACTATGCTTAGATATCTCTTGACTATTGTATATGCTATACTTAGATATCTCTTGACTGTTCTATATACTATGCTTAGATATCTCTGGACTATTCTATATACTATACTTAGATATCTCTGGACTATTGTATATACTATGCTTAGATATCTCTGAACTATTGTATATACTATACTCAGATATCTCTGTACTATTGTATATACTATACTTAGATATCTTTTGACTATTCTATATACTATACTTAAATATCTTTTGACTATTCCATATACTATACTTAGATATCTCTTGACTAGTGTATATACTATACTCAGATATCTCTTGACTATTGTATATACTATACTCAGATATCTCCGGACTATTGTATATACTATGCTTAGATATCTCTGAACTATTGTATATACTATACTCAGATATCTCTGTACTATTGTATATACTATGCTTAGATATCTCTGAACTATTGTATATACTATACTCAGATATCTCTGTACTATTGTATATACTATACTTAGATATCTCTGAATTATTGTATATACTATACTCAAATATCTCTGGACTATTGTATATACTATGCTTAGATATCTCTGAACTATTGTATATACTATACTTAGATATCTCTGGACTATTGTATATACTATGCTTAGATATCTCTGAACTATTGTATATACTATACTCAGATATCTCTGTACTATTGTATATACTATACTTAGATATCTCTGAACTATTGTATATACTATACTTAGATATCTTTTGACTATTCTATATACTATACTTAAATATCTTTTGACTATTCTATATACTATACTTAAATATCTTTTGACTATTCCATATACTATACTTAGATATCTCTGTACTATTTTGTATATACTATACTTAGATATCTCTGGACTATTGTATATAAAATTCATAAAATGTATTATATGTATTAATCTGAGATATACTAGTCTACTGTGTGTATTTTTCTCAATAAATCCAATTTTAAAATGTGTGTGGAGATAAGCTCAGTGAGCTACTTTATACAAAGTATCTTATTTGTGTCATAGCGCCCTCTACGTGCACATGTAATTCATGTAGCTCAATAAATGATTACAAACTTTCTTTGTTTCAAAAGTAATTGAAATATATTTAACTATTTGCCAGTTGATATTTTGGTCAAAATACTTCTTGTCTGTATGAATATATTTATTATTTATTGAATAAGTCAGTTTATTTTTAATATCGCCTTTAAAAGACTAAATAATTGTATTACAAACACTTTGTGTGGTGTATTGTTATGTCCGTCACTAAAATTATGGCTATAACTTTTCCTATTCATGTTTGACAGAACTTGCAACACTTGTGATCTCCGCCAATGGGCGATGGCGGGCGCTCTTTTGGTGCGCCCTCAGTCCAGCCAGCTGGGAATACGCACTTTGGCAAACTTGGCATTTATACGGCTTCTCTCCTGAAAATGAAAAGAAGAATGATGTAAGACGATTTCAGTATTGTGAAAACATTTGCAAGTAACTGAATTGACAATCTTAATATAGCGTGGAGCAAGTTCAACCCTCATATTATCGTGGAAATGTCCATGATTTGTAAGAAGATAGATGATTCACCTGTATGAAGTCTCACGTGATTTCTCAAAGTCGACGATTGACTAAAACTTCGACGGCAGTACATGCATACGAATGGTTTCTCCAGGGTATGAATTCTCATATGTGAACGGAGGTTACTTCTGGAATTGAAACCTCGTCTACAAACAACGCAGCGAAGTCTGCTTGGTGACATAGTAGCTAGCTCCATATTACACGAAACGTCGCCTAAATAAAACAAAAGCGAAACAAGTTTAATTTACAGTGGTTGAGGTTTAAAGGGCGGTTTTCGTCGCGCCGCGCATGCCGAGATATGGGTCTCACATAAACAAAGATGGCGACTTTGACTGTTGTGCACACCAACTAGTACAC